ATGATAATAAAAGCCATCCAAAAAAATTGAAAATGAAAAAACTCTTTCTAAGGCCTAGATCTAAGCATCTTACTAAAATGAATGGCCTATATTAATTGGGCTAAAAAAATATTTTTTTGGTTGTGTTTTCAATTTTTTCTTTTTTTTGTGATTGTTCATTATAATGAAAAAAGTGTATATTTCAAATTTTGGATCAAACAAATGCCCATAAGATAATTTTTTAAGCTTATTGCATTATATTACTATACAACGGTTGCTTGAAATCATTTGTTTTTTTCCATATATATATTTGTTTTTTTTTTCCTTTCAAGGGAACTTCCAAGAACCAGGAGATACCCATTCAGTTGTCTATGTAAGTCGGAATTAATGTATGTGGACACATTCTCTCTCTCTTTTCTTTGTGCTCTCTTTGTCTCTCTATTTGTGCTTTTATCGAATAAACTTTATCTCCATGATCATCATCGCCAGTTGGCAGCCTTACACCATTGAAGAAAAAATTGGGCTTAACAGGCCGGTTAGACCGATTGGTAGGGTCTTTTTTAAAAAAAATTTGGTGTTCGGTAGGGTATTTTTTAAAAAAAATTATATAAAATTTTAAAAGATAAGGGATTTTTTTTATAATATATTTTTTCATCATTATGAAAAAGTTTGGAAATTGTTTTGGCTACTAATATTTATTTTTTACATTTTCTCATCTTTTTTAAAAATTTCAAAATACGGTACAAATCCATTCTTTAAAATCTATTTTCTTTCATTAGTTTTCAACTTCATTTGGATGTGCTTTATGTAATCATTTTTTAAGTATAATTTTCATATTTTATTAGATTTTGTTTTGTATATTTTTTTTAAACACTGTTTTGACCACATTGGACTTCCCCGATTAGGATTGTTCAATTGCTTCAGGGCCTAAATCCGGTTAACCGCTCCGGTTTGATTTTTCCTATACTACCTTGTCAAACACAACCAATTTACCAATAAAGTGGTTGGTTTTAGAAGACCATTTCAATCAAATCAATTATTTTTTTAAAAAATGCACCAATCAAGGCTAAAAATCCTAAAATGGCTGAGTGTAGCTGTAATTTGACGGCCATTAAATGGCCTGAGCTAAATGACATAAATATTTTAGTTTATTTTAAGTTCAAAATGTGGAGGTCTTGTGCTCCTAATTTGAAACAAGTAGGATATTTACATCATTTGACACAACTTAAAATTGCCTTACCAAAACAAAGAAACTAACGCCAACTTTGTTCTAATTCCTACCCAGAACATATATTTCTTTATTAAAATTTCTTATTTTAGATTTAGATCCCAAAACAAATGGGGTTATTTTGGTAACTTTCCCCTGAACTAAATTACTTAAATATTGTGCATATTCGCTTCCAAAATACTAATCGGCCATTTTGAGTATTTTTAAACAAAAGTGTGAGGAGCTACTTGAGTGAAACATTCTTATCAGAGTGAGCACTTTATTCATAAAGGAAAATGGTTTAGAGTTGCAATTCAAGTATTGAAAAGCGTTTACATCGATCATCACGATTTGAAGATTATGATTGAGAAAAAAAAAGAAAAAGATTTCAAGCTTTAAAAATAGTGAATATTGTAATAAATTATCTAGATTGACAATTTCGCCATAAAAATAAGTATTCACAGATCCGTTAGATTAGTACAATTTTTTTCATTCTAAATTTTATTTTTGGTGTTGGAAATTGATTTTAGAGTATCTTAGATATTTTTTTTGCTGAAAGTGCTTTCCAGCTGAAGATTTGAGGTGAGACTTTATTTTGTTTTCATAGAGCTTAGGCCTTATAGAAAAATCTCATCCATTGATAAATGGGTCAATCTCACGTGAGTGATATTCCAAAGTGGTTTTTGGACCATTTCAATAAAGTTTTAGATTTTTTCACATTTGCTTTCATCTTTTTTATTTTTTTATTTTTTTAAATTTTTTTTTAATATTAACCCGTGAACCTCGACTTTCATCTGAGGAAAGTCCCAACTATATTTGTACACGAGAAACCAGTTGATATTCAAACAAGGTGACTCCTCAACGATTATCCAAACACGAGAAACATAAGAAGGTCGAAGTCTCACATGATGGCAGTTGGGACTTGATGGACGGCCCAGATTGTCCATTCCCATGGCGAAGCCTATCGCGGCCATGCGTTTCCCATAAGATAATCCCCAGTTAAATCCAAGATGAGGCCACACTTTATTGTCCCATTACCAATCTTGTGAACAATAACCATATTTTTAAAGCTTGAAATCCTATTTTTTTCACAACCACAATGTTCAAACCAACCTAATCGATATAAAGGTTTTACTTATTTTTGATAGGACTGCAGCGCTGTCAAAACCATTTCCCTTTTTTAAATATTTTGATAGGGGTGTGTATGCTGTACTCGTGGGAGCATAAACTATACACCTACTCCCTTAAGTGGGTAACCTACTTAAATCATTTTTTCAACCTGAAAATTTGGGAATTGTTTAAGAATCTCTAACTGATGTTTTTCGAAGGATAAAGTTTGAATTTAATACTTCAATCTCACCATTAAAAAAATTGGATGGTCTCAATTCAATCTTGAGACCACATTTTTGAAGTGCGAAGAGAGCGCGATTCAGAAATTTTTCTTATTGAGGCTAGTCTAAGTGTTGGGGTTCTACAATTATTGTGAGATTGGGTTTTACTCAAGGGAGCAAATGGACTGAATACTCCTATGGGAGCATAAAATATTTTGGCTTTTGGATATTGTGTCTTTTATAACACACGAGAATTCAAAGCTTTTTTTAGTCGCTTTTTTTGTTTTAGTTATCAATATGGGTTTTGTGTTTTGGGACCGTCTTTCCTTTTCTTTTTCAAATAAGTTGGGACCACCCTCACTGTATATAACATGCATGGCTCCCCATGAAGCTCAACGTGAGCTCCTCTTTATTTGGCTTGCCAAAAAGATGGCTTGTGTTATGGTTCTTTGTTATAAAAACTAGGGCACAAAGTTTTAGCTCTTGCTTCCTTCTAATAAACACGAGCACAAAGTTTAGTTTTTGCTTCTTTCTTAATAAAATCTAGGGCATAAGTTATGGTTCTTGCTAAAATGGAGAAGGGCTTTATTTGGTCATGTGGAATGCTTGTTGTTTTGGTAGTTTTTGAAGGGACTGTTGTTAATGGAAAAAGTAATATGCTTTTTGTGTTTGGGGACTCACTTCTTGATTGTGGCACCAACAATTACCTTGGTCGTTCAATGAAACACAGGGCTAATTACTATCCTTATGGCATGAGTTTCAGTGGTGGAAACGCAACTGGTCGCTATTCTGATGGCATGGTTACACCAGATTACATCGGTATGCCTCCCATTGATATGATCATTGTTATTGTCCTTGTCCTTGTCGTGGATGTTGTTGTTATATTATCATTATTAGGGATTGTTTACTGTGAGAATTTTTACCATTGTTATAAGGAGGTTACAATTACGCTTAGTCATTAAATGTCAAATTGAATGGATTTGGGTGTGTTACGAAATTCATGAAATTTTTTTAGAATTTTGAATCTAGTCAATGACATACTTACAACCATTTGATTTGAAATCTAACAAATAAAAGTGAATATGACCTTCATGTACTAAAAGCAGATAGTCTTTTTGTATACTTTTCATTCTTGTTGTTGTTACGGCTACAATTATTGTTATTGTTATTATTGGGGCAAATTTATAAAGGCTAAAGTTTATATAAGGTTGCAACCTTATATTTTTGAGGTAAGGTGCACCTCAAAATTCCTCTAGAACAGAGTATTCCGATATTTGAGAGTCGTTCAATTGATCATCTCGACCTCAAGAAGTGTGGATATGAAAAAAAACATAACTCTAAGTCCTAATAATAGTTAATGTTGTAATAAGCTATCTGGACCATCTACTTTCAAGATTTTCAAGTATTTATATATCTAGTCGGTCTATACCATTTTTAAAATTTTAAATTTCATAATTATAGATAAAAATAGATTTCAAAGCAAATACTAGAACTACATCTCCAAGAAAATTTTAACGTGCACCTTACTTCTACGATATAAGAAGGTTGCCTCATACAAACCTCACCCATTTATAAAAATACTAAGGACATGTGGATAATATAACACTTTACCCATATTGTTTGATTTAATTTTCGAAATATATATGATTACTCCTACTAGTATTATTGCTATTACTTCTATTACATCTCACCTCTCTCTCATATTTGTGACATGTTGATCATAGCCCAACTTGCGGACATTCCTCACCTCATCCCACCATACTTGGACCCCACGGCGGATTTTTCGTTTGGAGCCAACTTTGCATCAGGGGGAGCAGGAGCTCTCAAGGAGACAAATGCAGGGGAGGTAGTATAGTTCATCAATGGGAAAGAGAATACTATGATCCATATGATCACATGAAATGTATGGTCGTGATGGTCATCACCATCCATGCATTGGTTGGACGGTGATGTAGACAGAGATGGACATAAAACTGAATGCCGTTTGGGGTGGATCTCATTGTCTGTCTATCGCTGTCCAACTCCTACATTGGACAGTCCTGAGCCTTAGGACTGTATGAGTTTATGTGGTACTACAGTTTATATTAATTGTTTAGTCTTTGGTAATTTCAACCCTTTAGGGGAAAAATTTGGATGGACCTTATAGGTCTATTATTATTGTTGCTGTTGTTGTCGTCATTATCATTATTATTATTTGGGTAGTTCAGTGATAGAATTACTCCTGTTTTTGTTGACTGCCAAACCAACCATTAGTTTGTTTTTTTCATTTCATAAGTCATTTTAACAATTACCATTTTACCCCACAATGTTTGAACCCAAAGCATGTTAGTACAACTTGTTTAACATCGAGCCGACAGAAAATCGCCTAGGTCAGTCTGAGATCAGAAACCTCACAATTGTAGAGGGGGTTATCTAAAAAGCAAGGGTTTCTCTCAGAGTCTGGTGTCCTTTCTATTTTCTCATGATAACAGCGAGACACTCACCCGATTCTCTGACTGATTGACTGACTACGACACATAAGAAATTAAGATGTACCCACCAAGGATAACTTGTCTGTTTTCCACCCTCAGTATCGTTGCTTTCTCAAGGATTTCAACACTCTTTTAACGTTGTGAAAATTTCAGGTGGTGTGGTTCTCTACACAAATAGAACAATTCAAGACGCTTCAAGAGAAGTTTAGGAGAGAACTAGGCGATATGGTAAATCATCGGATCTTCCCTGAAGCTGTATATCAATTTAGCATTGGAATGAACGACTATAAGATGTATGTTCAAGATCCACAGCTCCAAGATAAATATGAATTGCTTACATACGTCGAGATGGTGTTGGAACATACATTCGAGGAAATTGATGTAAGTCCCATGGTTTCTTTGATTTTCATTCTGATGGTATATTTGCCGACGAACTGGTGAGGGGTCCAGTTACAATTGATCTTAACTGACGGCCACTCGACAAATTGGTTGGACTGGATTTTAGAAAACTAATAAAAACTAATAATAGTTTGCAATATGAAGTATATTTGGAAAGATTTCTCAACTATATTTGAATGGTCAAAAGCAACCACTTCAACTCTCCAAAACAGTTTGACAGCCTTTCGATAAAACTCTATTTTCATTTTAGGACCACACCAACCCATACACCTATTGATAGTCCAACCCATTAGACCAACCGGTCTGGTCGTTGATCACTATGGATAGGGCAGAGAATTTACTCAGTTTGGATCCGAAATCTTAATTTCATATCCTATTCAGATCCAAATATGCATCCAAGATTTGGATACCAAACTTGGATCCGAAATCTTAATTCATATCCTATTCAGATCCAAGTATGCATCCAAGATTTGGATACCAAATTTGGATCAAGTGGATCCGATCTTGATCAAGTGGATCCGATCGGGATCTGACTCGATTGTTAAAATAGCACATGTTATTTTATGGTTATATATAGTTATATATTTATTAAAAGAAAATATACAATGAGATCATTTCCCTTTGGTATAAGGTGTTCACAAATAACATTAACCTTTGGGTGGTTGCATTTATTCCATCAACCAAGCTCAAAGTTTAAAAAGAATTTTTTCAAACTTTGTGACACATCCAAGCTATCAAATTTCAAATCCATTGATTATAAATAGTTGTGACGGTAAATAGTCTCATTGTATAATCCTATTTATTAATTATATATATAATATAGATAATTTTTTAAACTTGTAAAAGACCTAATCCAGATCTGATGAATAGTTTTTGGATCCAAATCTAAACATTCTGGATCCCATCGGATCTGGATCCCATATATTCTTTTTTGGATCCAAATCCGAATCTAGGTGGATTTGGAGTTGATCCAAAAAATTCTCAGCCTTAACTGGGGATAAAACCACGTAATGCAAACTCTCTCTCTCTCTGTCTGTGGCAGAAACTATACGAACTCGGTGCTAGGAAGTTCTTAGCTCCGTTGCTAAAGGATCTAGGATGCAGTCCTGGCATGCGAGCTCTTAATGATGGCGAGTGCCATGAATTGGCTACTTTACTTTGTGAATCTCACAATCTTCTTTTGGAGTATGGATTGTTTATAAGAACATTGCGACACGCCGACTTTCAATACATCGTCTTTGACCAGATCCCGTTTATGAAGGAGAGGATAGAAGCTCCACATGAATATGGTATAAGTGCTCTCACTTTTTTTATTTGAAGCTTGAGCTTTGTATGTGTCTATACATGTAATTTTATATGTACATGGAATTACACAATTGTCTTATCCCCGTTCATTTTCGACGGGACTGTTGGGAACCGACAATAAGATCACATTTAAATTATAAGAAAATTTATCAAAAAATACCTAAGAAATACAGTATTTAACAATTTATCTTTTTTAAAAAAAAATTAAAATGCCCATCAAAAGACACTAATCACGAGTTATAAAAGGCGATATTTCACGTGTATTTTGACAAATGGGTAAAATGTTATATCATTGAAATTTAAGTACATTTTGATGAAATTTTCCTTCCTGTAGCACCTGTCTGTTATAGTGTTTGCAGCTCACGAGATATGGGATATTGTTATAGAACATTCTATTTCCGAAATTTAAATTTGGGTTTGTAAACACATAGTATAGTGTTTGTATGCTACTTGCAGTCTCCACCATCCATCAATGCTTGACGTAATCAAGTCCTCAATCTCGGAGAGACTGGCTTAAGAGTGGCTCATCTCTTCCTCCTCCTATGAATGAATTGGAGGGGTAAAAACCAGGATGTAGTATACAAAGAGCATGCTACATGCAGTATGCTAATTTCACTATTTATCATCAAGGAAAAAGAGAAGAAAAAAAAGACGAAATAACGAGAGTTCATTGAAAGCTCTAACCAATTAAGCCCATACTCTTTTCCTGATTTTTATAGGATTCCTTGTAACCAATTAAGCCCATACTCATTTCCTGAATTTTATAGGATTCCTTGAAGGAAGAGAAGCATGTTGTGGATCTGGTCTACTCCGAGGTGAGAACACTTGTGGAGGAAAGAATGACACCCCATACGAGCTCTGCGGAGACCCCTCAAAACACGTATATTTCGATGCGTTCCATTGCACCTCAGGCATAAACCGACAAGCCTCCTTTACAATGTGGCACGGCAACGATCCTACAGTGAGGCCGATCGCTCTCAAGAAATTCTTCAACTCAAATATTCCAATAATTAACATAGGTCACAAAGGGAAACCTGATATACCTTCCGTTGTAGAGGCGAGCTCACCTCAAAATGGTACGTGAAAATAACTTCCTTCATATTTTTATTAATCATCATCATCGTCGTTATTTGAGGTAAAATAGCACTTAGGCCGTTGTGATGCAGCATAGAAAAAGGGAATTAGGTTGAGAATTTACCCGATTTAGTTCTGAAACCCAGATTTTTTACCTTATCCCAATCCGGGTATGGATTCAAGATTTGGATCCGATAGGTCGGATCTGGATTCAAATAGTATTTGGATAGGATCCGGGTTTAGGTGAATCCCATCCAAATTTGACCTGATTATTAAGATATTATATATTATTTTATAATTTACATATATGTTATATAATTTTTTTCTTGTATATATAATTTTATAGATATAAAATAATTTTTTGGATCCTATCGGGTCCGGATCTAGATCCTATGTATTCTTTTTGGATTCAGATCCGGATATGATCGGATTCGGATCCAGATCCAGATCTCATGTATACTTTTCAGATTCAAATCTAGATCCCGGTGGATCCGGAGCCGATCTGACCCATTCCTGGCCCTAGAAAGGCATGTCTCAAAATGGGAACCTCCACACTGAATATTTATTTTTTTCTCTTTTTAGAGGAAAGTTAACATGGAACTTCAATTCTTAGGATGTAGAGGAAAGTTAACATGGGACTTCAATTCTTAGGATGTAGTGCCGCCATTGATAACACTACAAGCATTGAGCACGATGCCTGGTTTCCTTATTTGTGAGAGGATAAACAAAGGCAGTTTGAATAGGTGTTGCCCGGACACGAGATGCGTGTCGGTGTCCGGTATGTGTCGGGTTACCTAGTATGGGTAAAAAATCCCTGTAGCATAAAATTTTAATCATAGGTTATTTTATTTTCTATAAAATGTATAAAAATTATAAAAAAGAGAAATACTTTTAAAAAACCAAAAAATTAGGAATATTAAGAAGATTTCTTTTAGATCTACAAATCATCAAAAATTATAATTAAAGTAATGTTTAGATGTTTGTTATTTTTATGAATTGTAAAATATGTAGTATTTTATTTTTAGTCATTTATTAAACACCACTATCTAATAGACTGATTGGATGGAAGTCAATTCATATAGGGATCGAAACCATTCTTGGCCTTGTTGAGGTTATTCTTGAAAGAAGGAAGCTGGATGTTTCTTATATAAAAAAAGATATGTACAAAAATAATGGCTCATATTATTGTCGGAAAAAAAAAAAAAGGCCCATAAGCTATCATCTAAACTTGCTTAATATATGTCAACTTATCCAATGATTAAACCCATTCTTGGATGGTTGGTAGGCTGTGGGGAAGGTTGAACTTTATTTAACCTAAGAATCCCATAGAGCTTGAGGATAAAAGGACAACCCTTCCGAGAACATTTGTAGTAGAAGTATCGAAACCATACTGTACATATAAACCGCACTTATGGTCTATGCGTATATAACATGTTTGCATGTATTGATCGCCATGCTTACCTCCTGTTGTCGTTCTTATTATTTTTGGTCTGGTAAATATCCGAATGGTAATTACAACCCACTTTGAAAAATTGTAGTTGAAAGACCACTTTTAGCATTGCTTTCATTTATAATTCAAAAGAAAGCAAAATCTGGATAGAGCATACCGTCCACTCACTCCTTCGGGTACCAATCTAAAGAGTATTTTCAAAATCCAAATACTAGATCTGAGAGTATTTTTAACTCCTAACCTCTTCGACCTAGCAGCTTAACATATAAAAAGTTTATACCTGCGTATCTCTTAAAAAAAGATAAATTTTATGAAATGACCCATAAGAGATTAACAATTAACATTTTATCCATAGCTTTTAATTTAATTTCAGAATACCTATAAAGTAACACTTTTATCTTTGAGTTTCATTGATTCCAAAGGTATAAATTGCCAAATAATTCTTCTCTGGTAGGTATTTTGATAAATTTTCCCTTAAAACTAATAACCAAGACTACACAGAGACAATCCAATTTTGACGAGGGAAAGTCTCAGCATCGATGAACCCAAAATAAAGAACCTACCAAATACATCATCTGAAATAGCTCAAAGAACCTACCAAATAAATCATCTGAAATAGCTCTTTCTCCCCACAGAACAAGGTGCACCAAATTACATAGAAGCACTTTTGATGATCCAAGTTTACTATCCCACAGAACAAGTAGCAACCAAAAAAAAAAAAAGAACCAATTTCCAATGGGATTTCTTCTAGAGTTTGATCGTGCTCGGACTACATAACAAATTCAGATTAGGAACCCGACGTCGATTCTACACGATCATTCCCCAATGAACGATTCATCGGAATATGAGGTCTCTTCTTCGTCAATTGGTGGCCGCTGCTTATGGTGGTCAGTGACCGACTGATAAGCCATTGCAAGTGCCAGGGCCTTCACAGAAATAGCTCAGAACCAATGTTAGGAAACAGGACTGGGCATTCAGCATGGTGAATTTCAATATGAAAACATTGAAGCCACGCCAAAAACCAACTGAATAAAATGTCCAAAGCTGAAAATCTAGTCCAATAAAATATCAAAAATAGAACACCCAAAAGCCCATCCGAATAAAATCTCCAAAACTGAAAATCTAATAAGATTTAAGTACTCAAAGAACATGTAGTAAATAAATTTCTGACTGCTCTCTCTCTCTCTCTCTCCACGTGTGTGGCACATTCACATTTTGGAGCACACGTAGTCAACAATGGCATCATGTTTCATCTTGTCAACCCGTTGTAACCTATGATGTATAGACATTGATACATGCATCACCATTTGATACGGATACCAATCTCAAAATTGGCCGTTCAGACATGCCTTATCCATGCACTATTCAGAAAAAAAAGCGAGGTAAGAGTGCCTGGGGAATAGATCACATTCTTTGTATGCTAATACATGCCCAAGAAAAAAAAAAAAGGGGAAGAAGAAACCAACCACAAAGACCATGTTACATAGGTTGTGACATAATATTTGCAATCAATTGGACTTTGATCAGAACATTACAACTGATTCCTAATTTACTTGCAGGTCCAGTGGTGGCTGACGTATAAGCAACGCATGTCCGTTATGGAGGCAAGTACAATGCACCTAAGCTTAGTGCTGGGGCACAATTATAAATAATCTTGCCAGACTACTTATAAATAACCTTTGTGGGATTCTAGTTTGGATTCTAGTTTGGATTCTAGTTTTTATCTAGGACTTGAGTTCTGTATCTCCTACCTAATCCTATCTAGTGCCAGTCTCGTGTTGATGTTCGGTTATCTCAAGTCCAAAATAAGACTAGTTGCATTAGTTAAGTGTTTATATATGTTTATTATTTGCTGATTTCCATTCTTTATCCATAGAATGCTTATTAATTCGCCACATGTAGTTATCTAGTCCAATCGATATATAAAAATCGCCGGTTCGTCTTGGGACTCACCCTAGTCAGCTTAGATACGGCGCAAGGAGATTCTAGGCCAAAAAACAGTAGCACCTCAATCCCCCCTTTTCACATGATGCTTAAGTTTTTCTTATTCATCTCAGACGATCAGGGGGACTTGGGCTGCAGCCTCTTAGCGCGTTGGAGCAGAGTCCAGTTTTTCAGACACTGATTCCAGTGATCCCATCAAGGTAGGATTAGGCATGAATATATAAGTTAAAGACTTCCAAACTATAAAGCAAGTGATAAAACATGGAGAAGGCAATTACATTGTAAACCATGGAGAAAGCAATTCAATATGCAAGCAGAAACCCAGAATCACCAAAATTATAAACATATGGCCGAAATACAAAAAGTAAATCAAATATTGAGATTCACCACCAAAAATACAAATATATGCTAAAACAACCAAAAGTAAACTTAATATGAGGACTCACCACTGAATCACGATGGGGTGGTGCAAATATCCCAGTAGTGACTGTAGTCCTTCGATGAGTTCCACCTTTTGGTGGGTCTGTAATGTTCTTTGTTCCAGTAGGGATAACAATGACCGGAAGGCCCACCAGGTTGCCCATGCAAACTCTCTCCCAATCAGTTGCATTGCCCACAAATGCATCAACTGTAAAGCTTTCTCGAACCTCTTTTATCAATTTCCCACGTGCTCTATGAGCCTATTATTTATACAAATTAATATATTTAACTTATCCAAACCCACATTTCAATTAAGCAATAAATTCCCTTAAATTCTCTCTAATCCAAACTTCTTTGTCAAGAAAATCGATACAATTACACAGATCAACGAATTGATTATATATAAATATGGATGGAAAAGAAGGGGAACAAAGGGACAGTGTAGCATTGAAGATGAACCAAACCTGCACGTAATCAACTGCAGGTATCAAACGTGCACGTCGAAGTTCCACTGGCCACTGATCTTGTGCTTCATATTCATCATCTCCTCCAGCTCGTTGCCATTCATCAAAGTGGCTTAACATATCAACATCCATTGTAAAATTTAGAATGGATTGGGCTGTCTTCACTGTGTATGTAAGATTGAAAGGGACCATATTGACACCCTTTGAAGCAAGAACGTGTACAACCTGATTAAAAATAAGTGTTAATTGATTGAAGCAGAACACAAAGAAGGATTCAATGGTTCATATTATGAGCTCCAAAAACCTCAAGCTTTGGAACCACCCTTCCAACATAGTGTATGACGCCAGGTCGCAGGTTCAAACTCCCACTCTTATGAATAAGATGCAGAAAATGAAGAAAAAGCAAAGGATCCTATAAACTTCAACAGTGATCACTTAATCATTCCATAGTAACTCCACGTGATATCGATCATCCAAATCTTAGATCGTGGCACCATACTAAGTACTAGTTATATTCAGAGTTAAGGGAAGGGGTAATAACCTCCACCTCAGCATCAGGGAGGTAACCAACTCTAAGTTTAGAGATGTTAATAGAAAAAGGATCCTCAAAGAATACATCTCTTGATGAGGGATCATCTTGATCTCTCCCTCTAATGATGTCCAAAATGATAGCACAATCTGATGCACTTCTGCAGAAAGGACCAAGTTTATCCTGTGAAATTACAAGCTTTAGATTCCTTGATAAAATCTTATTCAACGCAATATAACAAAAGAAAAGAACAATCAGCTGAACAAGCTATGAAACCCTTATTGCAGGCAGGTCATGAGCATGCGCTGAAATGATGGATAGTGAGGAAATTAGCATGGTTTGAGTCATGTCCATCTCAAGTGCATTCTCTCCATCACCACCCATAATCTCATCAGATGGTCTTGCTATGTTTTCTCTAAAGAAAGTTATAGATTGATATTAATAGAGTTGGTTTTACTGACCAAGCTCTCAGAGATACTCATAACACCAGTACGGGCAACTGTTCCAAATGTTGGGCGTATTGCAGTGACCCCACAGCGAGCAGCCGGAAAACATATAGAACCAGCTGTTTCTGAACCAATGGCGAAGGGGACAAGGCCTAAACAAAAGTCAAAAGGTCGAATCATAATAAGAATACACTTTTTTTTTTAACTCTTCTCCCTTGTTAAGAAATAAAATTTTGTTTTTTTTAACACTTCTCCCTTGTTAAGAAAACAAATTTTAATCTCTACTATATCCCACTAAGTTTCACAACATTAGGAATGTATACATATTAGATACTTTAATACTTAAATTTCTATCATGGAAAAGAAATGAAGAAGGGGTACTCTACTGTACTAAAATGCATTATGAGAAATCATAGTCAATTGGACTTATAAATGTCTAGTTAAACGATGTATGGCAATGGGATCCGACCATTGGGTTCATGGCCAGTCCAGTTCTCATCAGTCCAGATCCCTGTCTGTCACCTTCCATTCTTTCATTGGACGATGATGGAAGTGGTATACTTTCCCAAGAAGAAATCACAGTCACCCATTTGGCCATTCATAGAAACAAGATACGAGATCTTGTTCAATGGAACCTTTCTTTTCCATGGGTTATGTTGTGGAAATGAGGCTACTGCCTCCAAATCCTAATTGACAGATAAAGAAACTAATAAATCTGCATAACATTGTTGACTGCCACACTGATCACAACAGAATTCAGTAAACCAAGAAAACAAACCAACAAATAAACCCAGAAAAACATGCTCTAAGTAACAACGAAAGCAAAAAAACAAAAAAGAAATAAACCTGCAGAGGTGCCTGAAGCAGGTCCAGCTGAGGAACCAGTAGAGAATTCTCCAATATTCCAAGGGTTTCTTGTCCTTCCCAAAAACCAGATGTCATCATATGCCAGAGATCCAGTAGCAAGCTTTGCTATGAGGACTGCGCCAGCAGATCTTAATCTACATAAGCGATTAACCAAGTTAAGTAACCTGAAGGTTGGGAAAGTATATATAATCCAATGGACTTTGGAAAGCCATAGCTCATTTTGCTCATCAGCCTTAACAAAAAAGCCTCCCTCCCTCTTCGATAATAATTCGGATTATAGTCTACCTTTTTTTTCTTGAGAAAGTTAACCTTGGATTATAGTTTACTTTCCCTGGCAGTTTACATCGATGTCAAAAATTCTAGTCCGATTTGTTACTTTTTGTAGACTGAGGCCTCCATGTCCAGAACTTGATCTTTAAAGGTCCTTGAACCCCAAGTTGTCTTATAGCCGGGGACTGCAATTATATCTTTTAGACCATAAGGAATGCCATGGAGTGGACCTGTAATCCATGAAAACAAAACAAATCCAAGCTCCATTAATCAGGATGCTTTATGTGTTCTCGTAATGGTGATGGTAATATTCTGAATACGATGCAAGCAAAGGCCATCAGTGGAGAAAGCAGTTGTTTGGGCTTTCCTATGATGTATTCCAAGGAACATCGAACATCGATTGTGGGAACTTTACCACACACCAATATATCATATGGCACAACAAAGGCGCATCCACCTGATCCAGCTGAAGAGCAGTTGATATTAACCTCAGTGGCCCCATGAGGAATTCAGCTGGGAATGGTAATCTTGCACTAAATTGAGTAGGGCCCTGCTGCATTCACCTGGATGGGGCTACTATCCACCACGAGGAATCATGAACTCATGGTGGATGGCTCTATTGTGCACCAAATAGTATGGAGCATAGACCATATAGTTGTCATCTATTCCTTCCGACTTAACTCAGAGTGTTCAGCATCATTTATGAGCAGCTTAAGCATGATATTGTCTTTAATACATAAAATGAAATGCTCGTCTTAGATGCCGACAGAGCACAAGTGAATGTTGGAATATGGATGATTTTATTTTAGAATCTGCTCCATTTTTTCACCTTGAATATCCGCATAAGAGAGATTACAACTTCATTGGCCTTTTAAACTAACCAATTTAATTAGTCATTCATAAAGAGCATAAAGAAAGTTGTGAAAAAGCATAATGGAAATCAAGGCCAGAAGCCCAAATTACCTAAGTATGTACCCTCCTTCAGTAAATCATCAGCCCTTTCAGCCTGACTGTATGCTAGCTCTTCTGTAAAGGTAACCACTGCTTCTAATATATTATCATACCTGTAAATTGTCCACAAATGAGATGTTCACATGATTGCATTGGAGGGAAGAACCATCACACACAAGATGACAACAATTGAATTAGGTATCCCACCTCTTCATTCTTTGCAAAAAAATATCAGTGAGCTCCCTAGATGTGATTTGTTTAGTCCTAATTAGTGCTCCAAGCTCCAAAACCTTATCAACCCACATTCAACATTTAAAAAACTCAATTTGAATAGTTAAATATAATATAGCTAAAAACGTGGTAAAACAAAGAGAGAGAGAGAGAGAGAGAGAGAGAGAGAGAGGAGGTAGGAGTATTACAGTACAGTAGAAGACGATACTCCTCTATTTCGTTTCGGGTTCCGTTACGTACACCGAGAGTATTCGTTAGGTAAGTTTGTATTAGTTCACTA